CGGTTAGTTAGCCCAATATTAGGGTTCCTTAGTATTAAGCCAGATAAATCAAAACAATAAAGGAAGTTAAGTCACATTAAATCCAACTGCTATCCAAAGTTTAGATTTGTTTTAAAGTGGCTGTGTCACCGCTGTCCAATTCATTTTGTTTCTAGATATTGTCTCTAATGCCATTAGCCTCCCACGCAAGCGTTTCTTGGGGAGGGTAGGGACGAAAAACGAGCCCCCCTAAAAACGCCTGCGTGGGAGGCTATAATGCCATCTACGGGTCTATATTCGCTAAAATACTTGACAAACCTGTGAATGACAAAATCACAGTTGCGTGTCATACAAAATATGTCTCCTAAGCATTGTATCCATGGTTAAAAACAGCAAAAATGAACTTTGAAAAACTGTTAGGTGAGCAAGGTTTCAAAAACCACACTTGAATTCCCTTTCAATCGTCTTGAAGTTTGTCCATCCCTGCTTCCCTTTGTATTTGCTGTGTCATTTATACCTTCTTCTAACTTTTGAAGCGCTTATTTTAATGTTTTACTCAATTTGGTGATAGTTCCGACTGTTTAAATGTTGATAAAATTCGTGGCACAGCTCCTTTAAAATGAGGCGAAGTGCGAAGCCTTTTTACACGAAAATTAATTTCAACGAAGAAAAGATTTAAGAACTTACCTCGTTTTGAAAATGAGGGTTTTTGGAACTCGGAAAATAATATTGAAATATTGATCGCATGAAATGGCTATTATGGTAGGTCACAATAATTGACGTGAAAGAAAAGATAATTCAGTGTTGATGATTTAGTGCCTGACTTCTTAATTGCAGATATATATGAGTGTCAACCAGGAAAGCACAACTGTCATGTAAACGGTATGTGCAATTACACCAAAGGATCCTTTGTTTGCACCAGCACAGGTGAGAATAGTATCTTGGTCTTATTTATAATCTTTTCCTAATCAACTCCATTTTCCTCGCATTTAGGCCAAGATCAGTCACAAGGTAGTATGCTTCTTAGTCCGTAGAGCTGTAGTTTGTTCTTTTAAGTGTCACCCTCTGAAAAAGTGTTCCAGGGGCCAAAAGTTGTGGTCAACCGATTTGGCTAAAGCTTAGCACAGAAGTTGGGTGTAATGAAGTATTTCAAAAGCGACTTTGGCTCACTTCTCTGACTTTTGGAGTTTTAGGGGCATCTCATGTTTTGCCCTTTGAGCACCAAAAATCCAGTCTTCCTAGGGACATTTTTTAAGTGCCATAATATGTCATTAGCAAATTGTGTTGCTAAATGAATTTGACGATGAACTGTACTATAATAGAACTTTCAGTTCATGCACGTAAAATTGTCCTCAAGGTATTGGACAAAGAGGGACCTGGGGCTAGAGTTTGGCTAAAATTGATGTCAAAATTACCACCCAAAATTGCCATTTTTCAAAAGTTTAGTATATTTACCTGCGTTCTTGCATAATTTCCAAACCTATACCATTGTTTACTTTAGTTACCAAATTATCAAAATCAGTTGAGAAAAACTTTTTCTTTATATTTGTCACGCCCATTTTTATATTTTTCTAAGATAACGTTAGCTTAACGAAAACGTTCGTTAACATATAATCTTCGTCTGACCTTTCAAAGCGCAGTTTGTTAAATGATGAATAATGAGAGGTATAAAAAATCCTTGCTCCCAGAACGCAAGCTGCAATGATGTCGCGACAGTCCCTGTATTATTCTCGGCTCTTCCCAAACTGTCCCCCGCCCCTAAGTAGAATTGATATACTCATCTACAGGCTACGTAAACTCAGTACATTTGTAAGGATAGGTGCTAAGTATTTCGTAGATATCGTAACTCCCAGATTACAAACATAGGCACGTTTTACGTGCATGAGCGATTTTGAATGCTTCAGTGTAACAGTATCGGCAATCTACTGTCTTAATCCTAAATCAAGGGTATGTTTTGTGCGAAATTGGGTATTGCTATACATTAATGAAAACGAGAACCGCAGCGCATAGCTGATTCGATCTGATAAATTCCCTTTTCTTTGTCTTTCCTTCAGACATTTGGTGTAAAATAAACAAATTGTTAAAGTACTATGAATATTAACTCACCAAACGTTGATTAGAGGGAAGGCTCGGAGGTTTCAAGGTTTCTTCATGGTTTCTTAGAATAACGAAGGTCGACGAATACCTAATAGCTAAGATTTTCGTTATTGTTGTAGATAGTTGCAACGTCATTATTCACGTGCGATTCTACTTTAATGAAACAGTCTTTAACTCTGACCATTTAATTCTAAGCATGTTATGAATTTTTGCTTCTTAAAAGAAAAGAGCCTTTGTTTAGGCACCAGTTAAAATACTAAAGATGTCTTCATACGTTCAAGTTACTATTATTACTGTGAAAATCCAGCGTGAGATGTAGAATCACACAGTTTGCACGTGAAGGTGTCGGACTTTGCCCCTTTCGTGGTTCGTACGTGAGGGAATTCGGGTTATCACACAGTAATCCAGTAAACAGAATTATAAA